TATCTTCGCGCCCCCATGTCGGTCCGATTATCTTGGCGCCCCCTTTCGGCTCGATCATCCTCAGAGTTTTTTCCCAGAGCCTCAGCGCTCGAAATCCCGAGCAAATTCGAGAAAGGGCGACCTACCGAGAGCCAGTAGACTCTACCCTGCTCCTCGCTCGGTCTTCTTGACCTTCGGGAGCCACTTGTAGCGCGAGTGCAACATGCGTTTCGGCTTAGAATACATCTTCCGAACTGGCCGACGAGAGCGCGCGGAAGGCCAAACCCCTCCTCCTCCTCCCCCTCTTCCTCCCCCTCCCCCACCCCCGTCATAAGCTCGCCTCCCAGGCCGAGGTGGAAGGCCTCCCGCGCGTTCGCGCCGCCACTCCTAGCTGCGTCGCTGCCGTCGCCCGCCCTCGTCTTCGGAGGGCTCAGAAGATCAGGGCCCTGCCAGAGGTCGACCCGAGTGGCGTTCTTCCCAATCGAACGCTCATCGAAGTCGTCGTCGTCACGAATCAACACCACCGTGCCTCTCTGAAACTCGCGGGCAAGAGCATGCATCCCCCGTTGCTGCAGGCGCGCCACGATAATCTGGTCACCTGTGGACGCCATTATGGCGAGATCCGAGGAGGGCCGAGGGGGGCGCACACTTCTGGCCCTGAAACGCTCGACCCGACAAGGCTGTCGCCGCTGGCCGCCCAACGGCCAAAACCAATCCCCCCCGCCGCTCCAACGGCACAGACCTGGAACGCGTATCCCGAGGGCGTGCTCGCCGATAGCACAACCCATGACGCATCCGGACGGCGTGATCGCTGCTCTCCACGCGTGCATCATCTCACGATCCAAGCGCATGGTGCTCCTCGTGGCATGAGTGCATGATACGATGTGGCCGTGCCAGGTCTCGCTTCAACTGCATTAATGTAGTGCATATATATCTTCATTGACATATGTGAACCAGAGCGACGAGCGTGTCTACATGTCCATGCTCTCTAATGTATTATATATAATGAGAAGCGACAGCGCCGTGCCTACATGTTTATTACCTCTAATGTATTATATATAATGAGAAGCAACAAAGGTCACAGCAACGCCAAACAAAAGCCAAATAAATGTCAAACAAAGGTCAGATAAAGGTCAAACAAAGGCCAAACAAAGGTCAAACAAAGGTCAAATAAAGGTCCAAGAGGTCAAACAAAGGTCAAACAAAGGTCAAATAAAGGTCAAATAAAAGTCAAACAAAGGTCAAACAAAGGTCAAACAAAGCTCAAACAAAGGTCAAACAGAGGTCAAACAAGGGTCAACCAAAGGTCAAACAATGGTCGATCAGAGGTCAAATCAAAGGTCAAGCAAAGGTCAAACAAAGGTCGAACAGAGGTCAAACAAGAGGTCGAATCAAAGGTCAAACAAAGGTCGATGCAACTTGTGACGACTCCGTCGCCTCGGACCTCGTGCAGCCCTGTTCGATCGACAATCGCACGATGCCAGGGGTCCCAGCGACGTTTTGAACGCCCTCCGCAGGATCCCCAGAGGTCCCCCTGACCTTTTTGAAAAGCGCCCGAATTCAAAAACTGCACTCAGAGCCTTTATAAAGGCTCTGGAAAGGTCCGCTGACCTTTTTTTGACCTCTGCAGAGGTCCTCCGACCTCCCCGAAGACCTCTGCCCCCCAAGGCGATTCGCGGCAACGGTCGGCCAGGCCCTTTCCGCCTCGAGGCCGAAGCCGAGAGAGGTCCGCCCGACCTCGAGCACCAGAATGAGGAAGGGAAGAGTGGGTGCCAGGATGGGGGAGGGGGAAGGAGCGGATACGGAGAGATCCAGGGCGAGGATGGGATACCAGGGCGAGGAGGACGTTAAGAGGGCGTGGAGTACCAGGATGACGTTAAGAAGACGTGGCTACCAGGGCGAGGATGACGTTAAGAGGACGTGGATACCAGGGCGAGGAGGACGTTAAGAGGACGGGGAGTACCGAGATGAGGAGCCCCTGGAATACAACTTTCCGTCCTCATCCCTCATCCTCCTGACCTTGGTAATCATCCCCCTTTACCCCCTTGGCCATGGCCCCCATTCGCCTGACCTAGCCACCCATATTCCTCCTCCTCCTCATCCTGGAGCCCCTCGACGTCCCCATGCTCCTCGCTCTGTTACTCCTCACCCTGGTACTCATCGTCCTGGTGCTCCTCACCTTGATGCTCATCATCCTGATAGACTGGTACTCCTCACCATCTCGCCCCTCATCCTGATGCCCCTCGCCCTGGTGATCATCACTATGGCACTCCTCACCCTGGCACTCCTCATCCCCATCATCATCATCATCCTCCTTCTCATCCCCAACATAGTCACTGCCGTCATCCCGACATTCTTCGCACCGATTCGCACAACCCTGGCAGAAGGAGGCAGAGAATTCTGGAAGACTGGGGGAGGGGGCTTGCACAGGTGCGTGGTTAGGGCACGGGGCGTCGGATGGCGGCAAGGCCAGTGGGCGCGTCATTTCCACCAACACCAACTCTCCAAAGTTATATTCACCGAAACTGTTTATAATATGTATGTGTGAAACAACACAGCGCGTACAAGACTGCGCTGTCAGCCGTTGCCACACTCACGTGAGGACATTCGGCTCGTCAGGCTCGCCTGGCCTCTTGGGGCGTTCTCTCCCCGCGAGATCTCGCAGGACGCCAGCCGCCCCCATGATCCTATCACGGGCAACCTGGCGCTCAGGCAGACGCGGGACGAACATCTTGTGCCCATCATCGCCATCGGCTCTCCTGAAATCGCCCGCGCATTCAAGCCAAGCAAGGAGTCGTGCAAGGGGCCTCCCCTGCCCTGGGAAATGTGTGATGTCAGCGTCGCGCTTAGGTGCAAACCGAGTCCGCGTTTTAGTGCACCTAGCCCCGTGTCCATCATGCTTGCAATGCGCTACGAAGTCGCCGTTCTTATACAGACTAATCTTCCCCCGAGCAGTGTAGTAAACCATCAACGCAGGCCCCCTCGGCCCCGCCATGCGAATCCCAGGAGGCCCGTCGTCGTCGGGAGGGGGGAGCGGCGGCGGGGGAACAGGCGCGCCTGGCGCGGGCACTCCAGGAGGGTCATCAGGTCCTGGCGGGTGCACTGGCCCTGGAGGCACGTCAACATGAGCGCCAGGAGGCGCGTCAACAGGAGCGCCACCAGGAGGCACGTCAACATGAACGTGAGCACCACCAGGATGCACGTCAACATGAACACCACCAGGAGGCACGTCAACATGAGCGCCACCAGGAGGCACGTCAACATGAGCGCCAGAGGGCACGTCAACAGGAGCACCACCATGAGGCACACCGCCGTGACCACCACCAGGATCATCCTCGGAGTCCTCGCCCCCGTCCTCCCCGAACAACTCGTCGGACGCCTCGGGCGAGTCCTGGGGCTAAGGAACCGCAAAGTACTGAGGTGCGGCCCCACGGGGCCCGACCGCCGTGCCACGCACGCACGCAGACACGGGGCGACGACGACGACGACGCTGACAAAAACGACGACGCTGACGACGGCGACGCCGAGGACGACGAAGGCGACGACGACGGCGACGACAACGGCGACGACGGCGACGGCGACGACGACGACGGCGCCGACGACGACAGGGCGACGACGACGACGACGCCGACGCCGCCAACGACGACGACGACGAAGACGACGACGAAGGGGGAGAGGGGATGCCTCCTCCAAATATATATATATATATGTATATATAATATATACAGACACCTATATATACGACGAAGAAGACGACGACGAAGACGACGACGAGGACGACGACGAAGGGGGAGGGGGGACGATGACGAAGACGACGACGAAGGGGAACGGAAAAGGGGAATGGCAGAGGGGGGATGCCTCCTCCATATGTATATTAGATATATTCCTCCTCCTCCTGCTCCTCCACTGCTCCTCCTCCTCCTCCTCCTCCTCCTCCTCCTCCTCCGACTCCTCCATACTCCTCCACTGCTCTTCCTCCTCCTCCTCCTCCTCCTCCTCCTCATCCTCCTCCTTCTCCTGCTACCTCCCCCCGTTCCGCCTCCTCGTCCGCCACCTTCCCGCACCCGCCCGCCTCTGGTTGCCTGGGAGGGTTTCTGAGTTTCTGATCATGTGTGCACGCGCCAAGTGAAGGAAAATATGTACGCACGTGTGTATGTATGTGTGTACGTATGTATGTTCTACGTAAGGTGTGCGTGTGTGTATGCACGTGTGTCTGTATGTGTGTATGTATGTGTGCATGTATATCTGTACGCACGTGTGTACGTATGTATGCGTGTACGCATGTGCGTCTCACCCGTGAGACGACTTCTTAAATCTGTGGAAAGCTCCCACGAGGTTCCACAGAGGTCCAGGATTCACTCGTAGAAAGCCCCAGCGCTCCAGAGGAGAGACTGGCAAGGGAGGGGAGCTGGGGCGGCGGGGAATCTCCTGCAACTTTGGGCACCCCCAATAATGTCGAACATCGCCCGTGTATGTATGTGTGGCCATGTATGTGCGCATGCATGTATGTATGCGTGTAAGTGCGCGATACGTCCCGAGTTGAGATTCCAAAAAGGACCAACTGTGCGAAACCAATGTCGGATCGGTAAAAGCGCAATGCCGTTTTAGCACACGAAGTAATGTAATGTTACTTAAACAAAAATGGGAATGGTGAACTGATGGTAGTCATGCGATGTGATGTAGTGATGCGCCGTGCCGAGTAAGCCTGTCAAGGAAATGAAGGCTATGTAGTGGTGGTAGTATGCAATGCAAGTGCGCTCTCAATGATGCAAAGGGAAGGCAGGGGGGGTGCGCGCGGGGCGTGGAGCTCAACTGCAGGAGGGGGGATGACGGGATTGGGAGGGGGTCTAGGATTGGGGGTAAAGGGGGAGGCGACGCGCAAATTGGGATGGAAGAAGATGCGCGGGGGGGAACGATGGAGAAAGGGGCGGTACAGATCGGGAAACGGCATTGTCGGCGCCGAGCGCTCGCGCCGCTGCCGCCGAAGTGCGCCCCCAGCCACGCCCGCGCCTGCTGAACGGTCAGCGCCCGCGGCCGCCCAGGGGCAGCCAAACCGCTGGGACGTTCCGCGCGCCCTTGGCGCGCGGGCGGCGGTCGCAAAGCCACCCGTGGACTAGCGCACCCAGGCCGTGGGCGCGGTAGGGCGTCAGCCGCGCAGCTGCCTGCGATGGCACTTCTTGGCCAAGGAAGTCCACCAGGTCGACCTCGCGGGTGCGCCCCGCGAAACTGCAGGATATCCCCGCGAATGGCTCGCGGCGGAAGCCCCTGGAGCAGAACCGCGGTGAAGTCGCGCTGCCCCATCCACCCGAAACGGCTGTGCTTCGCCAGGGTCAAGCCCCGCTGCCCCTCCGCCAGGGCGCTGCACTGCACTCGCGCCCACATGCCTGGCGGGGCCCAATCGGGGCGCACCGCGAGGAGCGCCCCCCGCGCCTCAACCGCCGCGCCCTAAGCGCCCTGCAGGCCCGCGGCGATGCGCCCGAAATTGCTGGGCGGCACGGCGGCGGCGGCGACTTGTCGGCGGCGGCAACTTGTCGGGCGGCAGGTATGCAATACGAATGGATGCGGCAAGCACGGCGCAGACAACCAACGGTTGCGCACGCGCGCTCCACCAAATCAGGATCCACTCCAGCAACGGCCTGGCGAAGTTCAGCCGTAGGCGAAAGCGACGCCGCGGCGATGCCAACGCTCAGCGACGGGGCGCCCTGCGCCCGAAGCTTCGCCACGATGTAGAGCAGCGACGCGCCGCGCGCCGTCCGTGCCCTTCCCCCCCCCCCCCCCTCCCCCTGTCACGGGGAACGGCGCGCGGCGCGCGCTGTGCGCAATGTCTCGATCTTCGCTTTCACTCCGCCGAAGGAGCAGGAGGGAAAAACCAACCAATGGTGCACAACGAGGAACCGAAAACGCTACACCTTTAACTGAGAAATAAGAAGTGGGAGACGTGCCGCGGGGAGGAAGCCGCCCACGCTCACGGGCTGATGGGATGTAACCTGCGTTTGATGCAATGTATTTTGTTTCGCTGCATTGTGCTGCGTCGCGTTTTCTGCCCTGCCGTCTGCTGCGTTGCATGGCGCCGTCTGTTTTTCCTGCGCCGCATTCTGCTGCATTGCACATTTCCCCCTGACTCCTCCATCTCCCAAATCACCCCCCCCCCTCCCTCTCCTCCTCCTTCTCCCACCACCCCCCCCCTCCACCAGCTCGCGCATCCTCCCCTCCCCCCGCCTCCTCTTCCTCCTTCTCCTTCTGATCCCCCCCCCCTCCCCTTCAAAATCCACTCCCCCTCGCCCTCCCCTTCAAAATCCCCCCTCCCTCCTCCTTCTCCCCCTTCCCCTCTTCCTCCCCCTCCTCCTCCTCCTCATTCTCCTCCTCCTCCTCTTCTTCCTCGTCCTCCTCCTCCCCCTCCTATGTTTAAACGAAATTCAGCAACGACGCGAATGCGACCCGCGCGGCGACGCTGCGATCCGCCACAGGCCGCTGGCGGCCTCCGCTCCATTGAAGCGCAGGTCTGCAAGACCCATGGTGGGCCACAGCGCGTCCAACAAAACTTCTGCCCTCGAAGCCGCGCCCCGCTGCCGCCTGTACGCCCCCACTGCAACGGCGGCAGAATAGCATCCACGCCCGCCGTCGGCATCTTGTTGCCCTCCACCTAGAGCTCCCGAAGCAGATCTTCCGCTTCGAGTCGCTGGATCTCCGCCCAACACTAGCCATGGGCGGCTGCGTCGCCATGCCCGCGGCGACGGCGTCGCGAACAATTGTTCGCGCTGGTCTGCATGAAGAGCATGCCGATGCCGCGCCCACCGCGCGCCTCGACACTCCTCGCAACGCCACTTGAATCGGCAATGGAGCGCGTCGGCGGATTCTGCCCAAGAGCAAGGGTCGGCCCGCGCCGCGGCGCGCCGCGCCTCGAAGCACCCCCGCGAGCTGCCGCTTGTCAAGCTCCTTGCGAATGGCCTTCCGCATGAGATGTAGCGGCGCATCGCCGTCGCGGTCGGCCATCGCATCATGATTGATGCCGTCGTTGAACATCTTGTGGCTGGTATGCCATGACCTCTGCACCGTGCCGCTCTGGAACCAGCACAACCACACCTCCACGCACAGCGCCGACGGCGCGCGCTGCATCCTCAAGATCTTGCGCCCGCCATTGCGCTCCGCGATCCAGCCAGCGCTGGGCGAAACCCAACGCCCTGTCGCGCCCCGATAGGACGCATCCAACTCCTTCTGCCCATCATCGGCGCTGTGGCGCAGCAAGCCCCCGCCCGCGCCAGTGCGCTTCGGGATGCGAAAATAGCTGGCGCCGCCGCCTGAAGCCCGCCGCCTGCCGCCGCGCAGCGCGGGCATCGGGTCCTAACAGATATGCTCATACTCAAACCTCTCTCAATTGATTGGTCGGTTGCTGGTGCAAAAACCCCAGCAGCCGCTTTCACTGCGCCAGCAGGTTTACTGCCCGTGGACCACGCACCACTCTACCATATCGCAACCACTAGTTGGACACGACCGCGCGAGCTCCGATCAGTCCGCTGGCAACCGCTCGACGCCCGCGCCTCTTGCACTTGATCCAGACAACAGCGCGCGCACCGCCCGCGCCCGCCACGCCCGCCCGCCGCCGCGCAAAGCATTCAAACAACCAAAAAGACATTCAACGGCAACGAACGCCACGAGCGCGAGCGCCGCAATGTCGGCGAGCTTACTCTGGCGCACGGCCGCCCCAGATCGACTTGTCGTCATCCAGGAACGCCGCATCTGCCCCCGCTGTACTCGCCGAGCCGAACCGAACGCCGTGATCATGGAATCCCAAAGGTTGTTCCGACCACCGTGGCGACGGCTGGCCGTCTTGTTGGGCGGAATGGATGCGGGCGTATATGCGGGCCGCCAACTTGCTGAGAAGCGCAGCTATCAGGGGCGAGCCGAAGGGCATGCCGCACCGCCCCCACTAATTTGCTCGCGTTTTCGGCCGCGGCAACGCCTCGTAGGCCGCATTCACTTTGATGAACTGCCCTGGCGGCCCGAAAGCGGCGCGTTCCGCGCGCGGGCGCCCCGCGTGCCCCGCGCAATGGCAATGCTCGGCGCGCGGCCCGCAGGGGTGCTGGGCGCGCGGCCGCCAGGCGCGCGGCGGCTGTGCTTATCACCGTGCCAAGCGTGCCCCCATCGAGAGGCGCGCGAATGGCTGCGCGCCTGTATGGCATCAATTCCCCCGCCGCAGCAGCAGCAGCAGCGAAGGCAGTAGCAGCAGACCAGGCAGCGCGCAGAAATGCTGACCAATGTTGCACACAAACACACGCGCACGCGCAGACACACGGACATCCGGCCGCGCACGGAAATGCGCAAACCACTCTGCATGCAGAGATGCTCAGACCCAGGCTGAACATGCAAATGCGTCGCCGTCGTCCGTCGTCGTCGTCCGTCGTCGTCTGTCGTCGTCGCCGTTCGTCGTCGCCGTGGCGGCGGTCGTCCGTCGTCATCGTCGTTGCCCCTTTGTCGTCGTCGTCGTCCGTCGTCGTCGCCGCCGCCGCCGTCGTCGTCGTCGGCGTGTCGCGGGCCTTCGATATTCAAGAGGTCTCCTCGGCCTCGGTCTTTGCATGGGGGCCGCCTTCGGGTAATCGTCATCGTTGTCGGTGTTCCTGAACCCTAACCCTACGTCAATTTGGAAATACCTTCGATTTCGGGCGACGCTTTCGGCGCCAAGACGGGGCGAAGCCGCGCGGGGGCGGGCGCGCGAATGAGCCCTTGAGAAGCATATTGTTCCGATCGCTCTGGGTTTTCAACCAGCCGCACAAGCGTTGTTATCCTCATGCGATGTTTGTTTCCCCTGGTTGCCGTCGCGCTTCCCCCGTAGCGCTGCGCCTCGATGCAACGACCGGCTTTCCGCGCGTGCGCGACAGCGTTCGACGCCTAGAAAAACACGCGCGCGCGCCAAGAAATCGGGAAAGCCCCCCTCCCCCACCCTCCGCCGCCCCTCCCCGAAAACGCCCTGCGTACCAGCGAAAACCTTTCGAAAATTGCAAAAAAAAAAAAAAAGCGCGAACCTAAGCAACGTTGCACCATGCGTAGGGTACCAAAGGTATGTGCGAATCCTGTGCATGCGCTACGGTTACAGTGCGTATATATGTATAGCATTGCTATGCGTTTCGCTGCAATGGTTAGTGCGGTTGCATATGATAAGATACGGTGGTGTATATGATATGGTTATGAGCGTGTGTATGGCAATGTATGTGTACATGCGCATGGTAATGATGTGCTGTCTGGCAGTTCATTTGCATCGCACTCTCCCTCGGCCGCGCTGGCACGGTCGAGTGATGCGCTGGCACGGTGGCGCGAGGTGCTCTCCACGCCTTCCCCGTCCGCAGCCCCCTCCGCCACCTTCGCCCTAATCATCCTCATCGCCCTCCTCGTCCTCCCCCCCCTCCTCATCCCCCTCCCCCATCATGGCCCTCATCGCCATCCCGATGGGGCGGGGCACGAGGCACGCTGGAGGGCGAGGAGGAGGAGGGAAACGATGAGGAGGAAAAAGGATGATGATGATGACCAGGAACACGAGGAGGGCGAAGAAGAGGGCGAGGATGAGGATGATGGGAGCGATAACTGCGAGGACGAGGAATACGATGGCGATGACGAGGCGAATGTGGAGGATAAGCGCCATGGCACGGAGGGGCATGTGAGGGGTGAGGCAGGCAGTGCCATATTCAAAATCCTCACCCTCCTCCTCCTCCTCAACATCATGATCACCCTCCATGTTTTCCTCGCAGCACCCCTCATGAGCACCATCGCCCTCGTCCACCGCACCCTCCCGCTCTTACTCCTCCTCGTGCATGCCCGCATGAGCATCCTCATCATCTATCTCCTCATCCTCTCCCCCCCCTTATCCCGCTCATTCCCCTCCTCCTGATCCCGCCCATCCTCCTCGCCCTCCTCCTCATCCTCATCCTTCTTATCCTCATCCTCCCTATGATCCCCCTCATGCCCCTTATACCGCTCGTCCACCTCCTCATCCTCATTATCCCGATCAGCCACCTCATCCTCCTTCTCCCGATCGTCCTCCTCACCCTCATCATCCTCGCCCTAATCATCGTCGCCATCCTCCCCCATCGTCCTCATCACCCCCCACCCAATCCGTCTCATCAGGGCCACCCTCGCCACCCCCATCGTCGCCCTCCTCAGCATCCTCCTCGTCATCCTCGCCATCCTCGCCCTCGCCCTCCTCATCGCCATTACCATCGCCGCCCTCATCCTCAGCATCATCGCCATCCTCATTGGCCCTCCTCCTCCTCCCCCCCCCTTTGGCATTGGAGGCCCCGCGGGTCCTCGCCTCCGCTGCCGCTGGCAGCCGCCGACGACGACGACGACGCGTCGGCGTCGTCGTCGACCTCCTCGGCCCCCTCCTCCGCGGCCGACGCGGGGTCGGAGCGGGGCTCGCCGTCCTCGATGGCGAGCGGCGCCGCAGCGCCGCCAGCGGGCAAGCCGCGCCCGACGCCGCGCCCCCGACCGCGTCCACCACGGCCACCTCGCGCCCCACGCGCCCCGCCATCAGCGGCACGGCCACGTCGCCCGCGACCGCCGCCGCGCCCGTGACCGCGACCGCGGGGCGGGGTTGGCCACACCTGAGCCTCATCGTAGGGCAGTGCGGCGACGAGCTGCACACCAGGCGCCAGGCCGCCGAGCGGCCGATCGTGGATGACCAGCTCCAGGAACCGCATGGTCCACGTGAGCTGGTCGCGCTCCAGCTCGGCGGCGGCGTCGAACAAGGACTGCCACTCGCCGACAACCTCGGGGAGAAAAGGCACAAAAAAACAAAACGTCGCATTCCCTCGCCGCTATCCTCATCGCCTCCATCATCCGCCTCATTACCGCCCTCATCGTCATCCTCGCCATCCTCCTCATCACCCTCCCCATTATCCTCCTACTCCTCCCCCAGACCCTCCTCCTCATCATCGTTATCATCAACCGCCTCATCCACCTCATCATTATCGCCCTCCTCCTCCTCCTCCCCATCTCCGCCCTCATCGCCATCAACGGCATCATCGTTCTCCGCTATCCGTCCCACACCTTCACCACCCTCCTCCTCATCCTCATCGGGGTTGTTGGGTCTCGGCCATTGGGCGGCCTTGACCGCTCTCTCGCCCGCGGAAAGCGACACCAGCGCGGCCTCCTCGGGCAGCGGCGGCACCACGGCCTGGACCATGGGCTCGTGCGGCGACCACGACTGGAAGCTGATGTGCCACATCACCTCGTGCTTCCCGTCGATGCCGTAAAACTCTGCCAACTCCAGCTGGTCAGCGGACGGCTCGCCAAACAGCTCCACGAACACCTTGCCGCCTCCAAGGAGCTCGCGATTGAAATTGCCAACTGGAAACGCAACCTTCATGGCACGGAGGATGTTGTCCCTGAACCGCTTTGTCACAGCGCCTTCAGGAGAGCATACGCAAATCCCAGCAAGCCAGCACGGCGACTCCTTCACGTCGTCGCCGTCATCGTCGGAGGACTCGTTCTGACGAACGCCCTGGTTGAGACGGCACAGGTGGTCCATCTGCTGATCCATCGACTTTATCAGGTTGGAGTGGTGCACGGTGAAGCTGTTGCAGTACTCGATGAGCTCGTCGACGGCCTTGACGGTGCCAAGCTTGGTTTGCTGGGCGCACTTCGCACCGAGGAATGGCGGTGGAACAGCAACGAAAGTGGGCGAAGCTACAGGCATGCGACCGCCCGTCGCGTTCATCTCCGCGCGAAGGTCGGGCGCGTGGGCATCGCTGTACTTCTTAATGGCCGCACTGTCATGTTCATCTGCCTCTCGGCTCGATGCCGCAATCTGCCGATCGCAAGACGCTGCAAGCGTGACGGCTCGCTGCAAGTCGTAGTCAGTCGCTACCGCCGGGTCCAAGAATTTGCAGATCTGTTCATCAGCGTCTCCGCGCCGCGCAGCTTCCAAGCAAGCCACTTCGAACTTCTGCTGTTTCATTCGCTTGATCTGTTTAGTAGTTGGCCCGAACGATGCACCGCTTCCAATGTCCCCTGCCCGCCGCCGATGCGCAGCAGCCGCGCCGTCGGTGATGCACTTCTGGAGGAGCTCGCTGCCGACGGTGTCCTTGAGAGCACGGTGCAGCACTGCCACGCTACGCAAGTCGTGGCTCTTCTGCGTGCGCACGAAACACCTCCAAGCACCGCCGCCGCCGCCCCGAGGACCGCTGCTGGAGGCGCCATTCCCGCCGTCGTCCTGATCGCCATCGCCGGCGGGAGGATCTCAATACAACTCACGCGCCTTATCACACCTGCACTGCTGCTGAACCCAATCGCTGTTCAACGAAACCAAGTCGGCCTTCCGTGATTGAACGCGCTTCTTCACAATGCGCCTGAAGTTGCCGTTGTCATTCTCCCTCGCAGTGGTGGTAATATTGATGGCAATGAGGTGCAACGCGATCTTGAGCCTGGCCTCGAAAGATGACAAATCATTATGCTTCATGAAAGTGCGGTTCCACTTATCAAGTCCACAGGGCCTGAAATCTTTGATCGATTCTGCCAAGTCGGGTTGCTCGGCCACAAGCAGCAGGCGCCAGGGGGGAAGCGAGTGCGGCTTGGCCACGAGTCTTTCAATCTGCGCTCCAGCCCGAGATATTGGAAGGAATGCCGTGGCAGAGAGTCTCACCGTAACCTCGGCACTGGGAACCAAGCACCAGACCCGCGTGTCAAACATCAGCGCCCTGAGTTGCCTGAAAGCTTTTCCCTCTATCGCACCGCGGGCCCTGACCAGAGCGGCGTAATCCCTCAACAGCTCCCAAGGCCTGGCCACGCCGTCCTGGATTCGCGTTGCTGCGGCTGCCTGCTGCTGCCGCTCATACTTGTCGGATGCAATGTAGAGGTTCTCCTTCTCAACGCGGCCAGTCACAGCATAGACCATGCGGAGTACCACGCACACGCCAGTTGGCTTGAAGCCATCACAGCCCTCCAAGAACCTCAAGCCAACTTTCCGACTGTACGCGTTTTGTTGAGCCCACGTCCCATCTGCAAAGCCGCCAGACTCCACTGGAACGTGGGCAGCGGGCCCGCCTGGCTCAGCGCCTGCAGCGACGATCGAGTACTCGTCGGGCCGACCGCTCGTCGAAGATTTACTTGATTTCTCGATCTTCTTCATCCGAGCACAACGCTCGATGCAAGCTGCTTTCAGTACGCCACAACACAATAGCGGAAGGGTGGAATCGCACAAAGCCTCCTCGCCACGAGCCATCTTCTTACGATTGAATGTTGGCCAAATCTTGTAAGTGAACGCCTCGGTGAGCCCATGGGCAACGCGGGCCTTCACAAGTTCTTCGGCTTCGGCCGACCCAAGGGGCACCCGTGCAACAATCCTGTCGTTGTCCCAACAGCACGGGGCCAGCCTCTCACACAGCATGCGCCTCACAGACGCTCGAGACCCGACGCGGATAAAGCATCGTAGAATAAGCCGACGGTGCGCAGCATCAACATCGTCACAAACGCCATGCTTAACATCAACCATGCCCTCAATGGCGTCACGCATCGACCCTGTGAACTGCGTGCGGAAGGTGGTGTGCTGGAGCGACAAACTGACGTGCGTGATCGCAGAGGCAGCGGCGCTCAACTCGGTCGGACATATGGCAGCATTGGAAATGGTAACTGCCTTATGCTGGGAGCACGTCGACAGGGAAGTTGGCCAACGAGAGTGCTGGCGCAAACGACGACGCTGCAATCGCCTCTCGCTCTGAAGATTCGACGGGCGCCTGTCAACATGTACGCATCTAGATGCATCTTGTGCCAATGCCTCCAACGAAGACGAACATTGAGAAACCTCCAGGGCCGCCATCAAGTCGCTAGTGCTGTTCGACCTCAGCGCTTGTGCAATCGAAACGTGGGAGCCTAAGATCATGAAATACTTCGGGTTGTCACCATCCGCATCTACCCTCTTAGCGAGAATCTCGTATGCGTTCGCCGTGATGAGAACTTTAGTGCTCGTCGCTGCCTTGGCTTGTTTGAACTTCTGCTCAAGATGGCGCATGGCAACTTGTGTTTCCGTGCTCCGTGCTGGTCCTGCAACAATCGACAATTCGGACCCGCCGCCAGCCACCTCAGCTGGCGTCTCATCGTACCCAACATCATCAATTATCTGCAAAACCTCGGATCGTGGATCTCGAACGAGCTCCTGCATGATAACTCTCCTCCACCAACGGTCGAACAACCAAACTGCAGATGTGAACGTCTTGAGGGGCGCCGTCAATGACTTCCTGCTCACGCCAAGGTTATCAGCCTGCGCCGTCCGAGTCATATTCGTCCGGCCTGCAGACACAGTCAAAAAAGATCGTGCCACGTCAGTTAGCTCACCCATCTCATCACTCGCTGGCTCAACCTCTCGCTTGGCCAACACCATGCCACCAACACAATCAATAAGAGGGCTTGGCATCAACATTCCATATCTCTTGCCAATCTGTTGCACAACAACTTTTGAAACATTGAACTTCTGCTCGTGAACTCGGGCGGCATCCGCCTCCTCTCGACGCCGTCGTTTAGCATCGATTGCAACTCGCTGGGCAACACGTATATCACCTCTGGGCCTTTTCCCCATATGTGTGTAAGCCGTAAGCTTACAATGTTTGAGCCAAAACGGTTGCGGATGAAGTGAAGAATAAATCGTGAACACCAGCTGAATGTATTTCAAATGCCTTCGGGCCATCGTGCGAATGCCGAATGTTGACTTTCTCATATGCAAATCTTCGTGGATGACCTACTGTTGCCCACGAGCACGGATGGGGGCACCAAGGGGCATCGAAGACTGAACGGACAACGCTTTTTCCCCAAACAATGCTTGCACTTGGAGGTTGTTTGGTTTGTATTCTAAGGACCTGGGCCTGGTTGTCGATCAGACTGCTATGTTGCCGCCGTTATCGTCGGTCGTCGGTCGTCGGTCGTCGGTTGTCGGTCGTGAGTTTTCGGTCGTCGGTCGTCGGTCGTCGGTCGTCAGTCGTTCGTCGTCGGTCGTCGTCGTCGTCGTCGTCGGCGTCCTTGTCGTCGCCGCCGCCGTCGTCGTCGTCGTCGGCGTCGTCGTCGTCGGTCGTGAGGGTCGATTGTGGGTCGTCGTCGTCGTCGCCGTAGTCGTCGTCGTCGGTCGGTCGGTCGGCGTGTCGCCGACAAGATAGACGGATCCACATAAACTTGCCCGCAGAGATCTCACCCCATAGATCGCACCGCGTAAATTGCACCGCATGGCAAGAAACAAAATGTATTCCACGCCAAATACTGCGCCATATAGACTGCGCCACATAGATTGCACCACATAAGCTGCACCACACAGATTGCACCACATAGATTGCACAGAGCAGGGTGCACCACATAGGTTGGTACCACATAGATTGCATCAAATTGTTTGAACCAGACAGCCCGCTAGAACTCCATCTCTTGCACCACATAGATTGCACCACAGCGGTTGTACCAGATTGGTTGCACCACGTAGGTTGCCCATGCTTGATGCACACATGCGACGTACACACACACGCTCTACTTAAGCTGTCGTAACAAGTGCTGGTGGCGCCATGCCCACCACCTTGAATGGCCGAACTCATCCGCGCATTGCATAGACCCACACATATAACCATAAACGAAAAAACACACGACCTTTTTTGACCTCTTTTTTTAAGTGCCCAAAAACACACACAAACCTTTGTTATGACCTTTAAACGCTATATCCATGATCTACAGAGTGTGGCAGTCTCGCCCGACTCGGGCCTATAAGCATCCAGGACGCACTCCAGACCCAAACCGCATGGAGTTGCTCAGCAGTCACCCCCGGGACCGCCAAGCCGTTGGGTGGGATGTGAATAGGAGCGACCGCGATTCAGTCGGGCACGTCGCCATGCACGATCCCCAACTCAGAGCCAATATCCTACCACGCTTTATATGTTGGCCGCAATCGGCATGGAAGCCACGTGGGACGGCGGCCCTCGTGGGGATCTGGTGCTGCGTGAACCCCGGATGTTCAGCCGCCCACTTGAATTGAATCTGGTGCCCCCAAAACTGCCGAGGCCATCGCCCCCACTATCTCCCAAAATAAATTCTTTAAAAAATGTTGGGGGGGGGGGGGGCCAACGGAGTGAAGGGCGCCAGGAATTCCGCGCGGATACAAAGCGTGGTGCACTCTATCGATAGCGCCGTTATCGTTGAGATTGCGGACGGTGACCTCGAGGCCGCTGTCATTTCGACGACGATTCGGCTCGACGCCCCCTTCCCATAGGGGAGGGCCGTGATTTGTTATGTCCCCCTTCCTTTCCCTCCCGCCCTCCGCCCGCCCTCCCCCCTCCCGCAGTGTTCCCGGGGGGTGGGGGCAATCGTTGTCGGAATGACAGTGGCCCGACCTTAACTCCCACGGGGTCCAGCACAAGGTTGAAAGATTTAGACCATCTCAAAAGGTCTCGCTGAATATTCTGCGAACCACCTGAGCCCATACTCGCCCATGCAGACACGAGCTCGTCCTGGCCACCGTACACGGACACTATATCACGTGCTGCCTGGGCAGCCTCTGTAGCCGCGCATGCCCCGCTTGAAACTCGCGCCAAGAATCGGCGGGACATTGGGTTGGCTGTCGGCTCGGAGAGCGGCCTGGGGTTGAAAGCGCCACCCGCCAGACATTCCCCCGGGCGAAGGAGGATGAGCGCGGAGGAGGAAGACGAGGAGGAGGGGGAGGAGGACAACGACGATGACGATGGAGAGGAGGGGGAGGAAGGAGGGGGATGAAGGCTGACGGGGAGGGCACTGGCGAGGGCGAGCTATAGCCCTTGGCTTGCACCCCATGGTCGCCGTCTGCGCCGCCTCCGCCGACCCTCATCGCCACGCGCTGGATGATCTGGAGGCGGCGGGGGCGGCGGTGCTGGGGGCCGGGGCTCTGTCTCGGCCGCTCTCCGGGCTACCTCGGCGCGGAGCCGTTTGAAAAAAGACATCTGCGCGGCGCGCCAGAGGCCAGACAAACAAAGCATCACGAGTGAGAGTCGCCATGATCCAAAGGATCTTGAGGAGCGCGGTTCTTGGCCTCTGAGGCGCCCCGCCATGCTTGCATGGCACGGCCTGAAGCCGCGCAGCCATGACAAGGCGCCTCGAGGCCCAAGAACCGCTCTCCTCAAGACCCTCGTGGTTCATGGCAAGAGAAAAGGGGGCTAAGAAAAATCTCAGCGCGCGCGCGTCCGAGCAGCGCGCAAGCGACGGCGCCGTGCCCCGGGCGCCGTCTGCCAGCCCCAGCTCCTCACGCGACCTCACCCGTGGCAGCGGGCTCAGCGGGCTTAATGTCCACCCAAGCTTTCACGGGCTTCGGCACCTTCCTGATGGAGATGCACGGGTTTGGAGCGCGGGGGGGAGAAGGAGGCGGGGAAGCAGCAGCGGCAGGGCAGGGGGGGGGGGGGGGTGGAGGAGGAGGAGAGGGAGGAGGAGGGCTGCCACACGGAGGGCGAGTTAGGGGGATGAGGAGGAGGGGGGCGACGAGGAAGGAGGATCGAGGGCGAGAGGAGGGGGGGGGGAGTGGGTTTCTCCTGCGCTCCCCGGGAGGCCCAGCCATGTTAACGTCACGTTTAGCCGCGAAGGCCAGATCCTATCGAGACGATGTTTGCTTCGCGTTTGAGCGCCTGCGTGTTCGGGGCGAAAGAGGGGCGCGGCGGCGGGGGGGGGGGGGGGAAGGGGAGGAGGAGGAGGAGGAGGAAGGAGGGAGGCGAAGGAAGGAGGAGGAGGAGGAGGGAGGAGGGGGAGAGAGGAGAGGAGGAGGAGGAGAGGAGAGGGAGAGAGGAGGGTGGAGGAGGGCCGGAGGTGGGGAGAGGGAGGAGGAAGGGGGGGAGGAGGGGGGGAGGAGAGGGCTGCCCTTGCGGAGGGCGAGTAGGGGGGATGAGGAGAGGGAGGTTCAGGGGGAGGAGGAGGAGGAGGAGGAGGAGGAGGAGGAGGAGGAGGAGGGGGGGATGCTGAGAATGCGCAACATGGTTCTAATCACGTTGAAACATTATGAGGAGGAGGAGGAGGAGGAGGAGTGGCGGATTTATGGCTCAAAATCCTCTTCGTGCCGGTCATGCAGTCTGCGGTGGCGATGTTGCCCTTGGCAATCCCGATCGACGCCGAGATCTCCGCCGGGAGAGTGTTCGCGGCCCGCGGCGTCTCAAACGTCGCATCGCTCACCTCGGAGGACTTGACCGCGTCGGCCAGCTCCTTCAAGTGGCCCTGAAGCTTCACGACGTCCGCCTGCAGGGTCTCCTTGAACTCCGTCGTCCAGTCGAACTTCGGGACATTCAA